TATACAAAATTGCATACCAATGGAAAAAAATTGGACCTTGAATATACTATTTTCTTCAAATTGAAGGAAAATCTACATGGGAGCTATATCGAATCTAATCGAACAAACGGTAGACCTTTGGTGGCCAATTTTCATGAAATCGGAGGAAAATATATACGGGAGTCATATCGAAATCTGCAGCGATTTCAATAAAACTTAACACACATCATTCTAGACTCAATTCAATACGCTATGCAAAATTTCGTGGCAATCGGAACAACGTTAGGCCTTTGGTGCGCAATTTTCTTGAAATCGGAAGAAAATTTATATGGGAGCTATAACGAAATCTGAACAGATTTCAACCAAACTTAGCACACATCATTTTAGACTTAATTTAGTATCATATACCAAATTTTGTGACAATCGGAAAAACATTGGGCATTTTATGCACCATTTTCTTTAAATCGAATGCAATTACATATGGGAGCTATATCGAAATCTGAACCGATTTCAACAAAACTTAACACACATCGTTCTAAGCTCAATTCATTACGCCATACCAAATTTCATGGCAATCGGACAAACGATAAACGTTTGGTGGGCTTTTTTCATGAAATCGGGGGGAAGTATACAAGGGAGCTATATTGAAATCTGAAGCGATTTCAACAAAACTTAACACACATCATGCTAGTCCCAAATCATTTCCCTATGCCGAATTTCGTGGCAATCGGACAAATATGAGAGCTTTGGAGCACAATATTCTTGAAATCGAAAGAAAATCTATATGGTAGCTATATCGGAATCTGAAGCGATTTCAACAAAACTTTACACACATTATTCTAAGCTCAATTCATTACGCCATACCAAATTTCGTATCTATCGGACAAACGTTTGACCTTTGGTGCACAATTTTCTTGAAATCGGAAGAAAATCTATATGGGAGCTATATCGAAATCTAAACCGATTTCCGCCAAACTTAATACACACCATTCTAGACTCAATTCAGTAGGCTATACAAAATTTCGTGGCAATCGAACAAACTTTAGACCTTTGGTGCACAATTTTCTTGAAATCGGAGGGAAATATACAAGGGAGCTATATCGAAATCTAAACCGATTTAAAGCAAACTTGGCACACATCATTCTAGACTCAATTCATTTCCTTATGCCGAATTTCGTGGCAATCGGACAAATGTAAGAGCTTTTTTCTATTTTTTTATTTATTTATTTATTTTTTATGTATTTAATTATTTTTATTTATTTTTATTTTTTTTTTTATTTTTTTTGTATAATTTTTTGTGCAATTTAATTTCGATTTCTTTGACATTTATTTAAGCAATAATTACCAATTCAATTTGAATTTGTTTTAAATGGTAACAAAAACGGTATCGAATTGAATGCAATGGGCCCCATTTCAAGCAGGCAGACAGACAGACACGCACACACGGAAGCATGACAAAAATATTAAAACGTCATGGTGATGAAATGGGCAATGACAAAAAAAAAAACAGAAATTAAAAATCACGAAATGTGTCGAAGCAACAACAACAAACAAATAGACCGCAAACAAAAACATAACCAAGAAGAAAAAAAATTGAATTGAAAAAAACGAAGTAAATAAAAACAAAAACAACAACAGCTATAAAACGCCATTACCTCTTTTTAATGGCAAAAACCTCGCAAACCTCCACCATATGCCAAAGCAAAAAAAAGTAGAGGGGGGAGGGAATACAAAAACGAGCCCCAAACAATACAAAAAAATTGTTTTTTTGGGGAGAATGAATATTTTTGTTTGTTTTGTTTTTTTATTTATTTTTTTTTTTTCTTAAAAAAAAATCGTATGAAAAAAAACCGGTTTTATTGTTGGCCAAGAGGTTATCTTTTTTGTTGTTGTTTTGCTTGTTTGGTATGTGATGGTTGTTGGTGATATGCATTTTAGTTAAACAGACAGACACACACAAAAGTAAAATTTCGTGGCAATCGGACAAACCTAAGGTCTTTGGCGGATAATTTTCTTGAAATCGGAAGAAAATCTACAAGGAAGTTTCATCGAGATCTGAAGCTATTTCAACAAAACTTAGCACACATCAATCTAATACCAAATTTCGTAGCAGTCGGACAAACGAGACGTCTTTGGTGGACCATTTTCATGAAATCGGAAGAAAATCTATATGGAGATATATCGAAATTTGCACCGATTTCAAGCAAACTCGGCACATGTAATTCTATATTCAATTCAGTGCTCTATGCAAAATTTCGTATCAATCGAAGCAACTTTGCGTCTTTGGTGGACCATTTTCTTAAAATCGGACGAAAATTTATATGGGAGCTATATCGAAATGTGAAACAATTTCAACTAAACTTAACATACATCAATCTAAGCTCAATTCATTGCGCCATACCAAATTTCGTATCAATCGGACAAACGTTGGACCTTTGGTGCACAATTTTCTTGAAATTGGAAGAAAATCTATATGGGAGCTATATTGAAATCAGCAGCGATTTCAATAAAACTTAACATACATCATTCTAGACTCAATTCAGTAGGCTATACAAAATTTCGTGGCAATCGAACAAACTTTAGACCTTTGGTGCACAATTTTCTTGAAATCGGAGGGAAATATACAAGGGAACTATATCGAAATCTGAACCGATTTCCTCGAAACTTAACACACATCATGCTAGTCTCAATTCATTTCCCAATGCACAATTTCGTGGGAATCGGTCAAACTTTATGCCTTGTTTTGCATAATTTTCATGAAATCGTTGGAAAATATGCAAGGGAGCTATATCGAAATCTGAACCGACTTCCACCAAACTTAACACACATCATTCTAGACTCAATTCATTTCCCAATGCACAATTTCGTGGCAATCGGTCAAACTTTATGCCTTGTTTTGCATAATTTTCATGAAATCGTTGGAAAATATGCAAGGGAGCTATATCGAAATCCACAACGATTTCCACCAAACTTAACACACATCATTCTAAGCTTAATTCATTACGCTATACCAAATTTTGAATCAATCGGTCAAACTTTATGCCCCGTTTTGCACAATTTTCATGAAATCGGACGTAAATATATATGGGAGCTATACCGAAATCTGAACGGATTTCCACCAAACTTAACACACAAAATTCTAAGCTGAATTCATTACGCCATACCAAATTTCGTGGCAATCGGACAAACGATGGACCTTTGGTGGACCATTTTCATGAAATCGGAGGGAAATATACAAGGGAGCTATATCGAAATCTGAACCGATTTCCTCGAAACTTAACACACATCATGCTAGTCTCAATTCATTTATCTATGCCCAATTTCGTGGCAATGGGTCAAACTTTATGCCTTGTTTTACATCATTTACATGAAATCGCTGGGAAATATACAAGGGAGCTATATCGAAATCTGCGGCGATTTTCTCAAAACTTAATGCACTCCATTCTAAGCTTATTTCATTACGCTATACCAAATTTCAAGATAATCCGACAAACTTTGTGTCTTTTTTCGCATTACTTTCGTGAAATCGGAAGAAAATATACAAGGGAGCTATAACGAAATCTGAACCGATTCTCACCAACTTCAATGGGGTTCATCCTTAGGCCAAATAAATGGGATGTGTTAAATTTCAGCTTATTCGGAGTATAAATCCGACCTTAAATTTTGCTTACAAAAATACATGGCGAAGGGACTTGCGGGGGCAGGCTTAATCAACTCAGAAATGAATTCTAAATATATCCTCAAATGTAAATATGAATCTCTACATAACACCCCGTATCACATAGTGTGATGAAGAGTACAAAAAATCGTATATATGATTTCAAATCATGCCGCAAAACAAATCAATCACCAAAATTGTTAAATTTGATCTGTTCAGGTTTTAATTTCCATTAAAAAATGGTAAAAATAATCTACTCCCCCTTCCACCATCTATCACGTGCTGAAATCTTTTTTTTTTATCTTACTAGGTAATTAGACTTTTTTTTGGCACATGCCAAGCAGTAAATTTAGATAAAAAGAAGGGTAAGCAAAAAAAAAAAAGAGACGACGTCAAAAAATGACGAAAATCAAAATACAAAAAAAAAAAACATTTTGACGTCACCCGAGATCTCTAAAACATCACATTCTTTTATTGCCACTACAAAAACAAACCAGAATGTATTTGTTGTTGGTTTTTAAAGGTACACTTCTTGAATAGTTTAAATTTGTTTAAGATATGTCTTTTTTGTTGTTGTTGGTGTTTATGTCAACATAATTAAAAAAAAATAGTTTTGCAGATAGGAAAACCTACATATCTATATCTCAGTGTATTCCAAAAACAACAACAACAAAATTATAACAGCTACCTATAACCACACATACAATGGGGGGTTACGCATCTCATCATTTTTTTTTCAACCTTGAATTTGTTTATAGCCTCGCGGGCAAGTACCACATACGTGTTTGTTTCGAGTTCTTTGAAATGTCTTGAGATGTGACAAGAAGAAGAAGAAAAAGAAAGCAAAAACTAAATACGAATACAAGACCAGAAATGCTATTTAACTTGACTTAAGCCATTTTAGTCCCATGTCGGTAGCCCCTGCTAAATTTCCTGACAATCGGACAAACATTAGATTAGGTCTTTGGTGGACCATTTTCATGTAAATCGAAGGAAAATATAAATGGAAGATACAACGAAATCTAAGGCCATTATCGTCAAATTTCAATCTTTTCTTGGGCCAATAATAAACTTCCAAATCTTACTTTTTTTAACAACTAATAGATTCGAAATTGTGACTTTCTCCTCTTGGGACAATTAATAAATTCCAAATCCTTTGGTTTTTGACTTCTTATAGATTCAAAATTGTTACTTCCGCCTTTCACTTCCCTTCATCTTCCCTTTTGAATTCCTTGCTATCAATATTCCAATAACTTTCAGATTTATCAAAATCTTCTCGAGACTACCTTCTTAAACTATAAAAATTATTTTGTTTTATTTTTTTCAAATAAATATTCAAAAATTATAATTTTTTTGCACTTACCTAATATTCTTTCAAAAGTCATATAAAACAGTAAGTTCCCCTGCTTGGGGTGCGCCAAATAATCCACTCGGTTAAGATAGAAAGAGTTAGCGAACGAAGGGGTGTTGGGGGGTTTTTAAAGATTTGAAATTTTCTGTAATTGAAAAAAACGGAAAAAATTAAACACATTTTTTATTACAAAAATTTAAAAAAAAAATATTCATAAAATAAGCTTAAAAATAAAAAAAAAAAAATATATATATTTTTAATAATAATGTTTCCTCGAAGGAACATTTTTAATCGAAATCTTTTCACACATCATTCTAGGCTTAATTCAGAACGATGTACCAACTTCCGTGCAAATCGAAAGTTATATGAAGACTTTGGTGGATCCATTTACCTTAAATCTGACGAAAATATATATGGGATCTATATCTAAATCTGAACCGATTTTCACGAATCTTGGCACACATCAATTCCAGGCTTAATTCAGTACGCTGTACCAAATTTCGTGCAAATCGGAGGATATATAGGGACTTTGGTGCACCATTAACCTTAAATCGGACGAAAATATATATGGGAGCTAATATCTAAATCCGAACCGAAAATTTGCACACATCATTCTGGGCTTAATTCAGTACATTGTGCCAAATTTCATGCAAATCGGAAAATATTTAGGGACATTGGTGCACCATTTACCTTAAATCGGACGAAAATATATATGGGAGTTATATCTAAATCTAAACCGATTTTTCCCAATTTCAATAGGGTTCATCCTTGGGTCAAATAAATGAACTGTGCTAAATTTCATCCAATTCGAATCATAAATGCGACCTGTACTTTGTTTACAATTTAACATGGACAGACAGACGGACGGACGGACATGCATAAATCGACTTAGAAAGTGATTCTATGCATATTCTCAAAAGGAACCATGTAGCTATATCGTTTCTTTTCCCTTTTACAAACATATGCACAAAGACATAATACCCTGTACCACAGTGTGGTGAAGGGTATAAAAAATAAAATATAAAAAAAATAAAATATAAAAAAATAAAATATAAAAAAAATAAAATATAAAAAAAATAAAATATAAAAAAATAATATATAACAAAAATAAAATATAAAAAATTAATATATAAAAAAATAAAACATAAAAAATTAAAATATAAAAAAATAAAATATAAAATATAAAAAATTTAATTTAATAAAATGTATAACAAAATTAAATATATAACAAAATTAACTTAATAAAAAAATAAATTAATATATTTACAATAAAAAATTAAATAATATATTATTGCTTTTTTATTTATTTTATTTTTTAAACTCAACATTTATTTTTAAAGAAAAAATAATATTTCAGAAAAAATAAAAATATTTAAAAATTATTAAATAAAAATAATAAAAAAGATTTTTCAAAAAAATGTTTTTTAAATATTTTTAAAATAAAAAAAAATTATAGCGTCTCAAAATTTGTTTTTAAATATTTTTAATTGTTTTTGTTTTAAATATTTTAATTTTTTTTTAATAAAAATAAAAAGAGTTTCAAAAATATGTTTTTTAAATATTTTTAAAATAAAAAAATTAAAGCGTCTCAAAAATTTGTTTTTAAATAATTTTAAAAATAAAAAAAAATTAATAAAACATTTAAAAAACCTAAAAAAACCAAAATTAATTTTTGGTCTGTTCTAGAACAGCAAGAATCTATTATTTTTCGCTTTCATATAGGAAAAATTTGTACTTTTTTGCAAGTTCGGGAAAAGACATTTTAAAAGAATTATTAAAAAAAATTATAATAATTTTTGTTTGAGGATTTTTTCAGTTAATCCTAGATCCTTGAATATTAGAGTGTAATGAAGAAAGTTATTCATATAACTTGTATTGTATTCTGGTATTTACAACCGAACTATACAGGTTGGCTTCCTAAAAAATATTCCAGAAGCTTTTTGAAATACAACAAGGGGTCTGTGTGTGAGACTTTTCTTGTGTTACAATAAACAAGTACAATGACTAAAAATAAATACAAAACATTCATAACAAAAAATTCCACAGATATTTGTCAACACAGAAATAAAAATAAATAATAATTATTATTAACAAAAATATATAAAAATATTTCCTTACATTGATTTTTGTTATGCGCTGTTTTTTGGCTGTTTAGGGGGCCACAGAAGACAGGGCAGGCACACAAAAACACAAAGGCGTAGAGGAAATTATTTTTTCTTTAAATTGAACGAAAAAACGTCAACTGTAATGAAAAATAAAAACAAGGAATAAAAATAAAAACGAAATAAATAATATATAAAAATTACAGAAAAATAATAATAAAAATAAAAATATATACACATATCTCCCTAGTGACGATGTGGCTGGTTGGTTGGGTTGGTTGACTAGAGCTTGCTTATTATTTGTTGCCAAGACAATGTTTTTGTTGTTGTTGTCGTTTTGTTGTCTTTCTTCTTCGTTTTTGTTTTCATTTTGCTGTGTGCATTCATTAAAATAAGGCAAATTTTTAGCAAGTACTTAACGTAGCATTTACTTAAAGGTACTTCACCTTCTGCTCCACCACCACAATCACCCTCATCTAGCCTCCTCACAACGTTTGCCACAGTAACACCACTCACTCTCATCATTATAATCATTATAATGAATATACGAATATAGTATACACATAACACACAAGGCACACAAACGCTTTAAATATATATTTCGTTTCACACCCCAGTATCACCTATAATGAGGGGAATCCTCTTTGGAATAGTTACTAAGGTTTAGGTGTATAGCCGCCGCCGACTTGGCGAAAAGAAGCCAAATAACCTTTGTACTTTTGAGAAACGGATGTGTAAGAAGGCCTAGGGGGAAGGCATGCATTGCTTTGCTACTGAAATGAAAAAAATCCTTAAATTTTTTCCACACCATTTTCACAAGTTTATGCAACTTTGGATTTTGGCTTTCCACGTCGTCATTTAAAGCCAAAGATCCAAAGAAGTGCAAAATATATATACATACACACAATATGCGCTGGCTGCTATATATATATATATATATATATATGTTTTGCCAAACTCTTGTTCAAGCACGACAATCACTTCAGCCAGCTAACCAACCAACCAGCCAGCAAATTGCACCATTTCACTCTAACCTCACTTTATGTACTTGAGGTTTTTCTTCTTCAAAAAATCTTTTTTTTTGCTCTTCTCTGCTTTTACCTTTATTTAGTTGAAAAACTGCGTACAATATTTCACAATTGGTGATTTTTTAACGCTTTGCACACGAAAATTTTCAAAACGAAAACTCAAAATAATTTTTTTTCTTTGATGATGAACGAACTTCACAAGTGATTGTGTCTCAGTTTGCAATTATTCAATGCACGATTGATTAAAATGGGTAGTATTAGGGTTCACTAGATCGACTTTTGTTTAGTGTGGTTAGGTTGCAGTAGGTGGATAATGTCAAAGATAACACACAATGTATTACTGATGAATGATAACACATGTTAAATAATGTAAAGTGCACAGGGCACAGGTCAAGCTGTAAGTGTAAATGTGTTTAGATGATAATTTTAAATGTTTTTTCTTCTAATAAATCATTTTATTGGGTTTCTCCGCTTACTTTTAACTTTATTTTGTTAAAAAAAACTGCAAAAAATATTTTACAAGAAATTTTCAAAAAAACTCAAAATAATTTCCCTAGGTCGACTTTGGTTTAGTGTGGTTAGGTTGCGATAGGTTGATAATGTGAATGGTAACATACAATGTATCACTGATAAATGATAACACATATTAAATAATGTAAAGTCCACATGTCACAGGTCAATCTTTAAGTGTAAATGTGTTTAGATGATAATTTTAAATGTTTTTCTTAAAAATCTACATTTATTTATTTTCTCCACTCACATTTGCCTTAATTTTGTTAAAAAACGGCGTACAATATTTCACAAGAAATTTTCAAAAGAAAACTCAAAATAATTTGATGATTTTGCAATAATTCAATGTACGATTATTAGTGTTCACTAGAATGACTTTAGTTTAGTATTATTATGTTGCAATAGGTTGATAATGTGAATGATAACACAATGTATCCGCATTCAGGGAGTAGAGCAGAATGCTAACAGACACGCCCACAGGTAGTGGGAAGCCGAATATTATTCATTGGGTAGCTGTGAATAACAAATAAGCAGTCGCGGAAAATCAGCGGGCTCAGGGGGAGAGTTTCGGAGGAAATGACCGAGTGTCTATGATCCCTGGGCCGACGAGGCGAGAATGGCGCTCCTAAATAACCATATCAAAGGTCTGGGTTACTACCATTTTAAAGTGACCCCCCTAACGCTGGAATGTCATGCGACCTCGTGCCCATCAACGTTCTACGGTTTGCAGTCAGGATCCCGACTGTATTAGAACGGAGCTTTGTTGATACCAGGCTTAGCTACCATGGTCGACCTCAATCCCTCACATACAGCACATTCTATGGCGCCGAATTTTAATAACACCCCCCAAAACAAAAACAAGTTAGTATGCGATTTTCCACTGAAGATGGTGTGTCTGCCTTGGCACCCTCAGTCTTGAACTTCACAAGGTCGGACCTCAATGAGCCCCTCAAGTGTTCAGGACCCAAGCTACCCCCTGGACCTCTCTTTTGCCTCATACCTCACTCTCGACGACTTGAAGGAAAGCCTGGAGAGGCAGTCGGATCTTCTCCTCAACCTAATAAAAGAAACCGGCTCCGTCTGCCTTAGTCAGGAGAGCATCCCGAATCAGCTCTGGGACATCATGGAAACTACAGTGATTAGCACTACGGTGAAAAACACGGTAGCGACCATGGCGTCTCCTCCGAAGCAAGGAGAGTCCTCCCAGTTGCTGACTATGGAAGTAAACCCTGGCGAGGTTGAAGATCTGCACTCAATCTCCACGGCCAGTAGTGATGTCGCGAGATTACTCAGACAGTTGGCTGTCGAAACGGATACTGGTACTGATAAGACTCCCGTCGATAAGATGGACGATTTATTAGTAACAGTAACCGATTCATCGGACGAGACAGCGACTCCATCTCGGGAAAGGAGTTCCTTTTAATCAAGAGGAACCTTATATTTATCCGGAAGTTCT